GGGAAAAAGTATTTGTAGCAGAAAAATCGATAATTAAGGTTTATCTTCTGTGACTATGGATACTTCAGATGTTGTTATTTATGATAAAAGCTGATGTATGCAGCTAAATCAAATTAAAATGTATTCAATACAATTGTTTTCAGGAGCTGGAGTTGTTCTTTCCCTCCAGTGGAGGTTGTGGACCAGCCAACAGTGCAAAATTCACAAACTGTACTTGTTGCATTATTAAGCCTCATGCAGTTAATGAAGGTAAGTAATGCAGATAGTGGATGTGGAAGCAGTGTGTGCTTCATTGTATGCATGATCGTTCCTGTGCCCTTTTTTGGGAGAATGAGACTGCAAGAGTACGGGGTGTATTTCATAGTACATGCAAAAGTGTGCAAATACATTGTCTTTCATGTGCCTTTAGTATTTCTGCAGTTCCTTCCATGAAGAGTGGGTCGTGTGCTTTCCATGTGGATATTTGTTAACTTCAGAATAAGGAGTGAGAGGTGAAAAAAAGAACAATACAAACATGTGTGAGCTTTGATGAATCTTACTGTGACAGCTTACCATGTCTTTGCTCCTGTCTGCCCACCGCACTTACCTGCTGGAGGTCAGCATCCCCATGGCAAAGTGAAAGCAGGACACCCGACTGTATTGTAGGGTCTTCCGTTCATGCAGTAACACGTTACATTAAAACTACTCACAGAGGGAGGTTTGTGCTGGTATGAATCTTGTTCTGCTGAATGCAGTGGGGATGGAAAGTAGAAAAGGCTTATTTACTCTACGAAAGTGAGCCAAAGTTCTAAAGCGTTTGCTGGACTCCAGGATGCTTTCTGAGCTGGAGAATGCTCTGTGAGCTCACCATATGAGTTTTGGAAATGTTTAATGCCCAACTGTTACCATGCAAAAAAATAATCTCACTTTTGTTTCCTGTACTTAAATAAAGGACCACGTGTAGGAGCAGAGAGTGCAGTAAAATATTTTGGCTCTGGCACTGCAACAGTATTTTGAGTGCAGAATAAATATTGCCGTGTGAGAGCATTGAGGTTTTTCTTAGTAAGATGCAGAGCACACTGCAACATTTTAATCACTTCTCTGTGGTTAGCTGAAATGGGAAGCAGCAGAAGTGGCCGTAGCAGTTTCCAGGCCTTTCACACCTCAAGTGGGATGTCTGGAGAGCTTGCTGAAAAAAAAATGGCTCTCACAAGAAAGGGTCTCGCACTCACTGCTGATAATATGCCTGTTATCTCTTTGAGGCCTCGCATGGTATCTGCTGCTGCTAAGTCTGCCATGCAGCAAAGACAGTGTGATGCTCCTTTTACAGACATATGGGCAGCAGCTGGAACTGTGATCTTACCTTGTGTCACGGAATGACACAGTATCCAACCAATAGAGGTCAGCTCAATAAAAGTCAGGAGCAATTCGACCAGTCTACCAGCTTCCCAAGAAAGACAATTCCCTTGCATCCGACCCACCTGCCCACCCTGGACAGCCCACTAAGTTGGAGGGTGTTTGCCTGACCTATCCAGGGACCTTGCCGGCAGCACAATGAGTCATCCTCCCTTATATTAAAGTTTCTGGAAACTTATATTCAAACAACAAATTTTAATACTGATGCTTGTGACAGGGTACAGATTCAAAGACAGCCGGTGATAGGGACTGACTGCAAAAATAGATTTGATTTAGAACAATATAAACTAGAACTGATCAGTGATAATACTCAATAGCTAGCAAAATGTTAGTAAGTACATGCACATAACACAGAGCTCTCACCCAACAGGTGTCCCAGCTCGGGGGGGGTGAAGAGAGGTTCAGCCTGTTGACTGATCCCAGACGTTTTGATGGAAGTCTTCGCCCCTAACATCCCCCTTCTCTTTAGCCATTTTATACTATTTCTTTACTTTTAGGTGGAGCTTTGAGTGACTCTAGTCATACATATTATAATGACATTATAATGAGCAAAGTTCAACTTCAGGGCACGATCCCACCATTGTGGTTGAGGAGGCAGTTGCGATCCATCTTTTTTGACAGCAATTGTGCTGTTATCTTCTGAAAACAGGGACAAGTCGTGGTACCTCCGCACCACTCTACTCCCCATTTCAGGGATATTGCATATTCCATCCGGCCAGATGCAGGCCTTAACTGTTTCTTGGAACAGCAACTGTGTATCACCTCAAAGCTGCTCTAATATTACAGCTCATTGTTTAAGATGTAAGCTGAACTTTGGGGGACAATATTCTCCCATTCCCCCAATTTCTGTTATTTTTCCACACCTTGCTAAATGTTTGCAGAGGACAAACTTTTCTATGGCAGGATTGTTGGAGTCCTTAGTTTGATTGTCAAAATAGCAAAGTGAGTGGTTGAGCGGCTTGAGCTGTGCTTTCTTAGACTTCAGGTATAGTTTCTATTACATATGGAGGCTTAGACTCTCTCTCTTAGTGAGCTCAGGTTTTTCCTTCCTACTTTTAATCTTAATTTCTATAGATTTCATAGTGCCCTGTCTGTTACTTTCTTTCTCTTTTCTTGAACTTCTCAGAATTTTTCTGAATCACCAAAGGACAAGTTCTGGCCCTGTTTGCACTCCCCTCTGTGAATGCGAGTGTCTGGGGGAGGTGGGGATGGTGAGAAAGAGATACAGGTACAGATAAACAGAAAATGTAAGTATACATCCAGCTTTGCAATGTGAGCACTAGAAAGACTGGACTAAAATTGAGTTTCATATCCACTATATAGTCCTTTTTCTCACACCATAGAGGGCTGGAAAGGCAGACTGCAGCTGCCAAACAGCAACTAAACTTTGAAAGACAAAGTGTGTCTTGCGTGAGCATTCTGCACCCATGCAGCTTTGATTACTACCCTCAACAGAATGGAGAAATCAAACTTGAATTTTCTGAGTCAGCAAAGTGTTTTATCAGTTCTAAATTAATATCAAGAATGATAGAATTCAGGGGCTGGCTATACTTTTACCTCACTAACCTCTGTTGTTCCTGCCTGTTGTCTCCAGTGTGAGTTTGAGCGTTTCAAAGGCCACAGGTGCTGCATCTCTTAAAGAGATTGAGACTGAGGTGGTCCTGTAAAACTTTCCAGAATTTTGGCTTATGATGGGGAGTTGAGCTTAGGGAAGGGAAGAGTCACTGTGGCTGGACAATGACCACCTGAGAGCACTGGTGTGGCTTCATAGTGCAACTGGGCTGTTTCCAGTCTGCAGTGTGAGGCAAGATGAATCCTTCTTCACAAGGGCTGCAGGAACTCTCCAGCATCAGCCCAAGGGGCCAGGAGGGTCGCAGAGGAAAGGATTTGGCTTTCTTAACCTGTCCTCTTCTGTCTTCCTTAGTCTTTCTCGTGTTGTTCTTCAGCCTATTTTATGAGTAACTAAAAATATCACTGAGTGGCATCTCTTTTGGTATGCTTGGTCTTCTTATAAAGCACTTTGCGTCGTCACAGTTGGAAGAACCACACGCAACAGAGTAGAGAGCTGCGCGCTAGCTTTGCAATAGTTTTTTGAAGTCTTAATTCTGAAACTACTCTCTTATGATTAAACTGCCTCCTTTAAAGTTGAAGGAACATAGCCTTTGCCTCCTATAGATTTTAAAGCTTTTCAAGTTTTGAGCATGCTGTGTGTCCAGTGGCAGGCTGTCTCTACAGAAATGCCACTGTTCCTCCTTCCCCGTGCAGATTGTTTTGGAGTCAGAGAATAGCATGCTGAAAGGGTTTGGGAGGACCAAACAATCTGCTCAAGAGAACTCCCAGCTGCTTGTCTGAGATAGGCAGACAAGAATGGAGAAGCTTGGCGTTAGGGATTAAAGAGCAGAGACGTGGCAGCGAGGCAGGTTGGCCCCATGGGATTGTGCATCTGTAGGCAGAAAGTTTGAGAAAGGGAAGGCCGACCAGTGTGAGCTCAGCGATCTGCGACAGAGCAGGGACACCCTGCTCTTCTCGTCTCCCTTTTAACAGCTGTTAGCGACTGTGTTCAGTGATACCCAAGACGTTCTTGTTATGCCAGCAACATCTCCTGTATCTCAGTTGAAGAAGGTGCTATAGCAACTAGTGAGCTGCCCTTTTGACAAAATTGCAGGTAGGAGACTGTGTGGTGTTAAAACTAAGCAACTTGCTTACCCCCAGCAACAGTGCTTCTAGCTATGGCTGTCCACCCTCCTGTTTCGGGTGAGCAAAATGTAAGTGGAAACACAGCAGCTGGAGAGGAAAGAAAATCCTGTGTGGCCATCAGTGTGAGAAGGTGGTTTGGCAGAGGCACGGAGAGGAATTTGTGTGGGTCAAAGCAGCAGAGCCTCGTATGCATTGTAGATTTGGTTTGTGCTCCACAATTTTTCAGTATTGAGTATCAAAAAATAAGCCTTTTTTCTATTTCCTATGCTCTGCTGAGGCTTTGAACTTGATTATCTAATTACCATGAATATAATCTGCTCATTACATGTGTACAATTACGTGAAGTTTCACTTACATGCTTGAGCTTATACAGAGCTTTAGTCTTTATTTCTGCAGAAACATTTGACCAAATTCGTGATTTGAATTTGACTTTCTGGTCCTTTTCCCCGTGTTTCTTTTTCCTCCAGAGTCTGTTGCTTAACTGATTCTTGGAAGGATAAATCCTCCATTTTTGCATCCTAGAAGATGCAACCACAGCTGTAAACAAGAAAGCTTTTCAGTGAGCTTACCTCGCTGTCAAAGGCTGGATCTAATCTCTTGTTGATGCTGATTAATTCTCTGACAGTCCTTTCTTAGAAACTGACTTTGATTATTGCAGAGGGTTTGTAGGGTTCCCACCCAGTGACAGAGCAGTGGAAAATCACTGTTGGTTTTATCTCTGGCCGTGCCGACCCTCTCGTGACGGGCACACAGAGACAGCTGTCGCTAGGCAGCCACAGCAGCGCAGCCCCACCACCTGCAGCAGAACCTGGTCCAGCGCTCCTGCACGCGATAAGTCCTGTAAGTGAGAGTGCCCAAAGTGTCTGCCAGGCTGCAGACGAGCCCTGGGGCTTGATAAAAGGTGTCAGGGCAGTTATGTGAAGTTTGACTTCAGCTGCCGACGGTGCTGGTAATGCTGGAGGAGTGGTGTCACCAGAACGTGTGTCATGCATGCCTCTTAAAGAATTAGGGCAATAGCTATTTTGTCAGTCTGGTGTCAGCATAACGTCTTCTGTGGAGGATCAGAGATGGGAAAAGAGCTGGGAAGGCCACTGAGGGGGTGTAGCCCAGCACTCCGGATTAGGCAGCTTTAGCTCATTCTCGAGCAGCTCCTCCCG